CGGCTTTCGGGTTCAGGATTTACTGGTTTGGAGGTTCGTCGGTGATTATTGGAGTTCTATCGGGGTTTGTAGGGTTTTAGCGAGGCTTTGCATTTAAACGGCTTTGCGGCTTTCAAGCAGCTTACATGAGTTTACAGCATTGTGTGTGTGGTTTGGGGTTTCGGGTTTTGGGGTTGAGGGCTCCAGCCTACAGCACCAAAAAAAGACTTTTTCGTTAAAGGATAAAGCCTGCCCCCACAGACGCCTCCTGCATCACCAATCCCCATATTATCCTGCAGCAAGTGGAGCCTGAGATCTTCATAGGGCATATGCCTACCTTATTGGGCTTCATTATACCAGGGGATATCCCTATCTTTGTTTTTGCTTGTCTGCTTTGTCGGGGCCCGAGGGACCGGGTAGTGCAGGTGACCGGGGTCCGAAGACTTAGGTATGCCTTCGTTTATAGTCCCCATATGAGAGTTTCAGAAAATAGGGGACCCTAATATAGTACCCTAAATAGTAGGATCCTTATTATAAGGACCCCCAAATAAGGTACCCCCTAATATTCTGAAACTCCCATATCTAGTCTAAATACAATCTGCCCCCAAGCCCTACACGGTTGAAGGTATGCCTGACAAAAAGCCCTGAAACACTAAGTCCCGTGATTCAAAGCCTACCAAACCGTGAAAGTCCTAAGACTGCCTCGGTTCCTGAGTAGTACTCTTTTGCCCTTCTTAATTTGGGGTCTCCGTTGTGAAACTTCTTATTAAGGGGTTACTGAGGAACCTCGCATAATAATTAGGGGATACTATAATAAGGGTTACTATAACTAGGGATGCTATAAGGGTTACTATAATAAGAGCAACAGGGAGGGTTACTATCACAGGGGATACTTTTCGGGGTACCATCACTGCTACGACTCGGTTGGGAGGCCTCCCGGCAGTCGCCTAAGGGCTCGCCCCGCGCAGCGACGCCGAACGTAGGCCGAGGTGAAGCTTGGGTTTGGGTGGGTTTAGGGAGTAGGTTTTTGAGACAAGATGCAATTTTGGCGTTTAGAGCATCGACACACCTTTCCGGGTTTCTGACTTTTCAGCTTGCTCATGTGAGGGCTTAAGTGTGCGATATTGGTTTCGGGTTGTAGCGATTCAGAGGGGTTTGTGTTTCAACTTCAACAGTGCGCCAACTCTTTCATCACGTCTGGGTGATCTAAACCCCAAGGCCCTGCGTGCTACAAAAAACAAAATCCTACGGCATGGGCCTTAAACTTGCGACCCGTGAATCGCTGCTTGCAGGTGCCAAAGAGTCGAAAGAGACGAGTGGCAAAGAGAGCTCGCAGAACGGCACCTCTCAGCGTCGGCAGGAAAGCAGGGCTTTGGGGGGTTATTGGGATTTCCATCTCTGTTTCTATTTCTTTCTGTGGGGCATGGGGCATCACAAAGTCTCTATTGTGTAATGTAGGTTTTTGGTACGATTTCCGAGGTTTGGCAAGGGTTCGATATTGCCTGTGGCAGCAGTTCGATGCTGCTTCTCTGGCTAGTTAGCATTACCGGCCGTTTGCAGATTTCAGATATCTTCGCTGGATTCGAGTCTTTGCTAGGGTTTAGGGTTAAGGGTTGAGAGCATGGACTATTTTGCTTCCGCTAAACCCTCACCCCCTAAAGCCCTGGAAGCATCGGTGGGCCGGTGGCAAGGTAGTTCCCAAGCCTGTTCCCTTCGGTGGAATCGCGAGGAGGCGGACCAGAGCGGCACTACGCAGAGGCGGCAGGCAGAACCCTTGAAACCCTAAACCCATGAAGGTAAAGTGGCTGATTAGCCCAAAACCCTAACTCAGAGGCTACTATTGAGGGCTTCATAGCTATAGAAACCTAGAATCAGGCTTGGGTTAGTTACAGTAATAACAACGCATAAGGGCTAGAAGGAAGTATTCTTGACCAATGACCTGGAGCTCTACAGTCTACAGTAGGAAAATGTTTGTATATATATATATACACATACACGTATGTACATCTTCGTAGCAGCTGCTATGCCTACATTTATACCAGCAGGCCCTGTTTTTGTCTTTATCTCCTCATAACCGCTGTCGATCTCTGCGCCTTCAATCGGCATCTTTGGCGACCTATACGAGTAGGTGCGCAGGCGGATAAATAGGATGGGATCGATCTGAACGGCTGAATTATAGTTAAGGGTTGAGCGGTTTAGGGGATTGCGGTTCTGTAGCATAAGATAGTAGACTATTGTACATTTAGAGTGCAGCTTCCATGCTGAAACTGGCATTGCTTCCTCAACCTCACCCAAGCGCCCAAGCGACCTAAACACGGCTATCCTAGATGGAATGCAGGAACCCTTCATAGCTTAATTCAGCGTAATGGTATGGATCTGACTGTGGTTGGAGTTCTGTTCAAGGAGTTTCTCGGTCAGGTTGCTACATTACCTTGACCGTAAGCCACAAAAAGTTGGAGACCGAGTTGAGGCCAAATAGTGCTGGGATTCCCTATGCATTACTCTTCAGGATTGAGGCTATTGAGTTTCCAACTTTTGGACTTCTGCTGTAGCTCTAACGGTTGAAAACTGACAGATCCTGAAGCCTAAACCTTCAACGAGCCCTATCAGCCTAAACCAGTTTCCTGGGCGGCAGTCGGGCAATCCGAGTCGTAGTTTCCAACACTTACAGTCCTAAGCACCCAGGCACTCAACCGTTGTTGATGTATTGCGGCCCAAGTCTGAACAGGACTTCTTGTACACTGCGTACCCGAAAGATTAGCAATTCGACACTTGCAGCAGCGATGCAGATCTTTGTCAAGACCTTGACAGGCAAGACCATTACGTTGGATGTTGAGGCCAGTGACACGATCGATAATGTCAAGGCTAAGATCCAGGATAAGGAAGGCATCCCGCCCGACCAGCAGCGCCTGATCTTCGCTGGCAAGCAGTTGGAGGACGGCCGTACCCTTTCGGACTACAACATCCAGAAGGAATCGACCCTGCACTTGGTGCTGCGTCTGCGAGGTGGCATGCAGATCTTTGTCAAGACCCTGACGGGGAAGACGATCACCTTGGATGTTGAGGCCAGTGACACCATTGACAATGTTGCCTGGCATGTTTCGCATGGTTCCGTTTTTGTGATGTTTTTGTGATGCACAACACAGTTTTCTTTCGGCGTTCAATTCCTAAATTGTGATGTCTGTCGAAAGGGCCCTTGTGCACACATTTGTATGTAGAAGTTCTATTGCCTTGCACATGTGTTTGTACCTATGCGTATGTACATTCTTTGTGTGTACATGTATCTGTGTATGTGCTGGTCTATGCTGATGTGTATGTATGTACTCATGTACGTACATGTAATGCATATGTATATGAAAACAGATGGACGGATGGACAGATAGATAGACAGATATACAGATAGGTAGATGGATGGACGCGTGTGTGTGTGTGTGTGTACATGTGTGTTTGCGTAGGTTCAGAGGTTCGTGCTGTAAAATTTTGTATGTATATATGTATGCATGCATGCATATACTTGCCTGTTTGTAAAACGTAATTTTCTGTGGCTAATATACAGATATGCATGTATACGTGCATGCACGTAGGTGTCTTCAGATGTGTACATGCTTGCATGTATGCGTATGTGTGTATATATATATATATATATATACACATGTATTCTTGTAGATATGACTGTATGCTTATGCGTTTGCACAGAAACCTGCTCAAGGCACGTATGTATACACATGTACACACATCTAAATACATATGTATAGGTCTAGATCTCTTGCTCTCTCTCTTGTATACATGTATAGTACATGCATGTCTGTAGGTGTTTATGTATGTATCCATGTACCCATGTATGTATGTATCTCTGTATGCGTGTATACATGTATGTATGTATGTATGTATGTGTATGTATGTACGTATATGTGCCTGCATATCTGCATAGATGTACATATGTCCATATGTATGTTTGTGTATACATACAAATATGTATACTGCCTTTTACATATGTAAGAGAACCCTTTATTCAAGAGAACTGAAAAGTTTTATACAACTTTTGAAACGTTTAAGCAATCGAAATGTTCCGGATGTTGGGATGCGTGAAGTAACCTCCACGCGGTGCATCTGGTCCTTGGGCCACTTTGGCTTGGGGTACCAATACTTCCTGCTCAGCCTCATCGTCGTGCTCTTTTGTGCGATGGTGTGGAGTGGTGCTTCTTCCTGCACGGCTGGTGCTGAGGTGTTCTCGGACCAGCTGCTCAAAGGCCGTTGTGGGCTGTTCGGACTTTGGGCTGGAGGCATCTGCTTCAACAAGGCCGTCAATCTCCTGCTGTGCCTTTTCTGGTATGGTGGGACTAGGCTCCTTCAGAGCCTCCGCAGGTTGGTTGGTCACTGGTTTTCTGGTGGCAGCTCCAAATCCTCTCAGGTATTTCATCGTGCTCCGCGTGCTACTGTGGTGGTGCGCAGTTATCGAGGGCAAGGCTTACGCATAGGTGGGAGACCGCGCCTTTGGGTTCGCGCGCAACGCCCCACTTTGAGGCAGCTGCGCCGGCGATTCATGCTGCTTCGTTGTGAGCTGTTCGGGATGGCCAGGCGAGCTGCGCGCAGGATCCGTGGCCGGCGTTTCCGTGATCATCGCTGGTGGAGGCGGCGACTTCGGCGACATGACCGCAGGACTTGCCTGCACGTGCTGGAGGCGGGGTTCCTTGTCACTCCTCGCGTGCGCCGCGTTTTGCATGAGATGCAGCAGATCATGAGCGTCAGTTCTGGCTTCGTGCATCGGCTGCATTTTCGGGGTAGGACTTGCAGTGGCAACCGGACCCGAGGACCGAGAACAGTAATGCAGAGCCATGTGGGCCGACATAAGAAATACATCAGGAGCCAGAGGGCCGATCAAGAAACAATGCAGAGCCTGAAGGCCACTTCAAGAGGCATCGGTTGCCCCAAGGTCAGGTGTGAGGCGCAGGTGCCAGACAGGGGTAGGCTGTCTTTTGGCCCTTCTGGGCTCCCCTTAGGTCCTTACTCCCTGTGTTGCCATGGAACTCTGCTGTGTCAGGCTGCTGGACGGTGGTATCTTCGCGGCCTTACTGCAGGACAGGCCTTGCTCACATGCAGCCTTTGCCTGCTATGGATTTTGACTCCTGTCTTCACTCATGGATTTGGTTTTCAGGGTGATCTAGGGGATGGGTTTCGATTTTCGCCCACTGCTGCTGTGCGCTTTGGTGAGGCGACTAACCCGGGCCACATTTTCGGTCCTTCGCACGTTTCCGCTAGCTGTGGTGATACTTGCTGCACCGCTGCGGCGAGAAGAGTGAACAAGGATCTGCAAGCTGTGACGTTGGATGATGACTCCTCGCATGTTCCCAATGGTTGTGTGGACATTGGCTGCACCGCTGCAGATATCGGAGTAAACAAGGATTTGCAATCTGTGACTTTGGATGATGGGGCTCGTTCCGGTGTGGGTTTCGGGCGTGTCCTTGACTTCGATGGCAGTGCTCATGAGGGTGGACGCTGGAGCCAGGATGACCAGGATCTCGTTAGCAAACTTCTTGCCTTGCTAGCCTCGCCCAAGGGAAATGTGGAACAGCAGCTGAAGACGCTGCTCGCTCAGCACCGTAGTGATCGAAAGAGCCGGTGGCAGCGACCTAAGGCCCCGCAGAAGTACTGGAATGCCGCCCCCAGCGGCGAACCCGTTCCCCGACCTTGGCATTACTCAGCCCCACTCAGCCCGCGATGCTACCTCTGCTCAGGTGCCTGCCGCACGCCGGTGGGCCAAGGCCAAGGCGCACGAGCCATCAGCCCAGGATGAACCTTCAGGCTGGGAGCACTATGTTTGGCATCTCCGTAAAGACGACTGGGTTGCTGATGAAGGCAGTAATCTTCAGGTTCTTAACGCTCTTGAGGACTTGGGCAATGCTCTTGATGTTGATGACTCGGGACATGTAGTGGTCCGAGTGGGCTCGCTGGACGAGGCCACCGAGGCACTTGAGATGATTGCCGCTACTCCTTCGGCCTGTGGCACTCTTGTGCTTCCTGGCTCTGCTGAGGAGGAGTCCGCTCTTCCTGAGGCCGTTGCTGACTTCAAGCCGGTTCTGTCACATTGTCGTGTTCCGGGCAAGCTGGGCCCTAAGCTCCAAACCAGACCGCTACCCTACTATCGTTTGGCTCGGAGCCGCCCCGGCTTCGTCTCAAAGAACTCCTCGAGCTGGGTTTTGCGGGTTACCGCCGACTGGCACTACACGTGTGACGACTGGCAGCTGCTGCAGAAGCAGCCTTGGCGCCCTGTGCGTAAATGAAAATGGCTTGCGGCTGCTGTCCTGGCAACAAGGAGGCCTACGGTGACACTTGGGGTTGGCGTCGTCTTGGTAACTCCCAGATCCAAGGCTTGATGCGGATTCACGATCCACACGTTGCCGCCCTGATGTTACAAGCCTCTGGTGTTGACAAAGGCGGTTCAGTCTTCTTTACCGACCCTGTTGGCGCTCCTCCGCCCTGCTTTTACGCTTCCAAAGTGGATCTCTTGGGACGCTGCGGACCGTTGGGACGCTTACTTGCGAACGACTCGGGCCCAAGGCTCGAGTGGAGTTGTGCTTGGTGCTCGTCAGCTTGGAGTCCACGTCCGTGAGTCAGACGCGCAATGGCAAGCGCCCGCTCGCACTTGGTCCATCCGTTGGCTGCCCCAGAGCTTTACTCACTCTGACCTTGGAGCCATGTTGTCATCGATGGGGTTCTGCGAATTCCAGGTGCTTGGAAAGCTTGTGCGCCGGCAAGGCGCTGCTTGGACTTTTCGTGCTAAGCGTGATGACCAGCTGGAAGTCGTGATTGGAGCCTACGAGGATGAGGCTGAGCGTGCTGTTGAGGTGCAAGCGATGCTCGAATCCAAGAGGCGAGGGCCTGGCAAGAAGGCTACCCCGCTGGCCGCGAAGCGTCGGGTTCAGTGTCAGCATGCATCTTCGGATCCGTGGTCTGTGTCGCGCGAGGAATCTTTTGCGCAAGGGTGACATGATTCTAGTGAAGACTGGAAAATGCCAGACCTGTGGGATTTTCCTGACGTGGACCTTGATGAGCCGGAGGATGACCAATCGCACGCGGCTAGCGGCCAGCCTATATAACCATGGCGTTGCCGCTATGGACTCCTCGTGTCCTCCTGACGAGGCTGCTGTGGGCACTAAGCGTGGCCCTCCTACTGAAGAGCAGCCTCAGAAGCAGGCTGTCCTGCGCGCCCGTGCGCCCTGGAAACCGCGTGGGCAGCGTGTCGCCAACGCTGGCGGCGGTGACTGCCTGTACTTGTCCTTGGCACAAGCGCTTCAAGAGGCCAAGCTGTTTGGGTCGAATGGTCGCCCTAGATCACATCGACAACTTCGTGCTTTCGTTTCTGCGATCTTCTAGAAGTATCGTCAGCTTTACGAACAGATGTGGATAGGACAAGGACGTGTCACGGTCCAAGGTGCCACCCAGTCCTCTGATGCCACCTTCGACGCCTTCCTGCAAGCCTCTGCCCTCCTGGGCTCCTAGGGCTGGAGCCCTTGAGCTCCACGCGTCAGGGACTCTGTTGATGCCTGTTTTGCCACCTTGCTCACTTTTGGGACACCATTTGCCAGAAGCTCGAGGTTGCGAGGAACTTGACAGGTTGTGGTCAGTTGGGCTCACCTGGCGTCCTGGCTCGCCCGTGCCGGGCGATTGGCGCATTGTATCGCATCAGTCCTCGCAGCAAGGATCGGATAGGGCTGAAGCGTATGCTCTTGCGTCGAAAAAACTGGAAGTCGTGGCACGCGACAGTCCTGCCCTTCGTATGCCAGTCATTCCAAAGTGCGATTGCAAATGGGTTGTTGACCGCTTCCGATTGGGCGTCAACGAGGCACACTATGACCTCTGGCGCAGGATCACGAGCACGGTGAACTCTCCGCGCGCTCGTGGTTGTGAGGTTCAATCGAAATGGATTCCTGGGCACTGTGCCGCTAGAGATGTTGTCAATGGGGTAATCTCGGCAGAGGATCTGGCTGGAAATGCAGCAGCTGATGCCGGCGCAAAGAAGGCTGCCCGCCGTGCTGCCGAACTCCTTGGGTGTAAGGACATTAGCAAGAGTCGGGATCGCGATCGTGAAATCTGCGTCAAACGGCAGCTTCACAAAGTCGCCGTGATAAACAAGCGGTGGAAAGCCCTGAAATCATTTTGTTCCCAAAGAGGCGGCCATTTTCCATCCGAAACTCTCGATGCCTGTTGTGAGTGTTTTCATAAGTTAAGCGGAGCTGGTCGCCGGGAGGTAAAATCACGATCCTGGAATTGTTCTGCGATTTTTTTACGCTTTTACGGGTACTAGTCTTGTAAACCGCAAGGCAGGCCGACTGAGGCCTCCGTCCACTGCATCCGACTATGCTTGCTCGTTCGCAGCAGCTGTCAGGGCCCTACCCAAGCAATTTCAGGAAGGTCCCTTGGCTCATCCTGCTACACGTGTGTTGTGTTCTCATCTGACACAGTTTTTGGCCTGCCAAAACAGGTGGAGAGCCTGTCCATGCGGCCCACGTTGATGTGCCCAGACAAAGTTCATGCTTTTCTCACATGGGCCAGAATGCACAGTACTCCTTTCAAAACTTCTCTCGGTTTTTAGGGGTCTTGTTTTTGGTGTAGGGTTCAATTCTCTGTCGGTGTCGAAGCGCTCTCTTGCAGTGAAGGGCCTTGCCAAAGTCACTTTCCGATAGGGATGATGATTTTAGTGTAGGCTTCATTTTTCCGGCAGTGCCGTGCACTCCTGGGCATTGCTGAGCCGTGCAAGAGTCTGACAGGGGTTTGGCTCCTGCTTTTTCTCTCGTTTTTCGGAGTCATGTGTTTCGTGTAGGGTTCAATTCTCAGTTGGTGCCAAAGTGCGCCCTTGCAGTGAAGGGCCTTGCCGATGATACTTTCTGATAGCGGTGATGGTTTCAGTGTCGGCTTCATTTTCCGGCAGTGCCGTGCACTCCTGGGCATTGTTGAGCCGTGCAAGAGTCTGACTGGGGTTTGGCTCCTGCTTTTTCTCTCGGCTTGAGGGGTCTTGTTTTTCAGTATAGGGTTCATTTCTCTGTTGGTGCCGAAGCGCGCTCTTGCAGTGAAGGGCCTTGCCAAAGACATTTACCGCGGAAACCATCTTCGGTTTGCCACCCACGCGACTGGGGGCTCCTGCCTTTCCAGTGTGCAGCGTCTGCTAAGGGCGGACGCCAGATGTTCGTCTACAGTGATGCAGTGACCATTTGCGCAGCGTAACCCTTCTTCGGCTGTCTGTTGTAGGGTTTCTTTTCGGTTTAGTGGTCTTCGGACTTGCTATAGGGTTGTTACTTCAGGGGCCTTTGTATGCCTGGAAGTGGCGCCAACTTCGTTGGCAATGTGACAGACACGGACGACGAGGAGCCAGCCAAGTGGACCTGTGAGGCTTGCAAACGTGTCTTTCGGGAAACGCCGACGCGTAGCCTCCGTCGCGCCAAGACCATATCCGGCATGCCCACCCCGAGATGCCCAAAGACGCCTTCAGCCAGCTTTGGACGGACTACAACCTTGAGATCAATGTGGAACCTTGCCCCTCAGCAATGCATGAAGAAGTCCAAGATGAGTTCATTGCGTGGCTGCCTGTTGATATTTCTCTCTCTGTGAAGCCCCTGCTCAGCAACAGCAGCATGACTCCCAGGTGAACGGGCTCATCTGCGTGGAGGGCAGACTGGCCTTGCCACGTCTCAGTCGTCGTTGCCTACACTTCTCAAGGGTGTCAACCCGGCTTTCGTCATTAGTGAGGAGTGGCAGGCGTGACGGAGATGGAAGGCATCCCGCAAAGTGGTTCCAGGCCGTGCTGTGGCTGTGCTGATGCCACTTGCGTTCTTAGGCGCCTCATGGAGGAAGTTCGTTTGACGACGCCCCTGCCTCCCGCAGCACAGGCTGCCCCACCTGGCGTCAGTCTGGCGTTCTACGCGCTCTTTGTTGACCTGTGCAAGGCCTTTGACAGCATGCTTCGCAGCGTCATGTGGCGAATTCTCACTCGTCGTAGTGCCCGACGGACTTGTTCGCTGTGTTCGAGACATGCACGAGGGCATGAAGTCTCCAGCGAAGTACCGCGTGCACCTGAGCACGGAGTTCGACATGGCCACTGGCGTAAGGCCGGGCGTGGGCCCGGAAAAGCGTGCTCGCACAAGAGCCGCTTGCTTGACAGGATCATGTTTGACAGCCATGTGGGGACAGCTTTGCAATGCGGTGCCCGCCGAGATGGACCGACTCTTACATAGTATTGGCTTTTTTTAAATCTTTTTTACACTTTCACGTGACAGTTTTTTAGCTTCACTTGGAGTCTGTTACAGTCATCATTACAGCTTTTGTGTGCTTGTGCTTTTGGTGTTTCAGTATTTGTTAGCCACCTTTGCTCTTTTCTGGAAGACAGCGCAGCAGTCAATCTCTCCCAAGACCCAGGACCATTCTATTTTTCGCCGCGGCCTTGCAACTACCGTTACAGAAATACAGTATTTGCTGCGGTCTGGGCTTGGCTCTGGACAGTAAAAATTCAGCTCTTGATCCTCCTTTGCCGCAGGGTTTTCAATTTTTTTGCAACTTGATGCCATTTTTCGTATATGTGCTACTTGCAACACGTGCTTCTCGGCCTTCTGCGCTCTTGATGGTGCTAGAGACAAGCTTTTTCTTTTGCCACTTTCTCTGCAGTATGGTTCTGTTTGTATCTTGACATTGGTCGCTGCTACAACTTGGTGCTTTGTTCGATGCCTTCATCCAAGCTGCGGCAAAATACACATATGGAGGTACACACACTATATATATACATATATATATATAGAGACACATACGTATTCACACACACACACATAAAACAGACATAATCATACCTACATACATACATACATTCATGTGCATACAGTACATGTACATACATGTACATACATGTACATACATGTACATACATGTACATACATGCATATGTGTATGCATGTGCATACGTGTGCATACATACATACACACAAACATACACACAATCATACATACATATGCATCTTTCCACATGTTTTACACTACTAGTACGTGCTTGCGGTTCGTTTGTATTTGGTGTGTTGACGTTTTTTGCAGAAAGTTAGACAAGGTCAAGGCTAAGATCCAGGACAAGGAAGGCATCCCGCCCGACCAGCAGCGCCTGATCTTCGCCGGCAAGCAGTTGGAGGATGGCCGTACCCTTTCGGATTACAACATCCAAAAGGAATCGACCCTTCACTTGGTGCTGCGCTTGCGAGGCGGCATGCAGATCTTTGTCAAGACCTTGACGGGCAAGACGATCACCTTGGATGTTGAGGCCAGTGACACGATCGACAATGTCAAGGCTAAGATCCAGGACAAGGAAGGCATCCCGCCCGACCAGCAGCGCCTGATCTTCGCTGGCAAGCAGTTGGAGGATGGCCGTACCCTTTCGGATTACAACATCCAGAAGGAATCGACCCTTCACTTGGTGCTGCGCTTGCGAGGCGGCATGCAGATCTTTGTCAAGACCTTGACGGGCAAGACGATCACGTTGGATGTTGAGGCCAGTGACACGATCGACAATGTCAAGGCTAAGATCCAGGACAAGGAAGGCATCCCGCCCGACCAGCAGCGCCTGATCTTCGCTGGCAAGCAGTTGGAGGACGGCCGTACCCTTTCGGATTACAACATCCAAAAGGAATCGACCCTTCACTTGGTGCTGCGTTGCGAGGCGGCATGCAGATCTTTGTCAAGACCTTGACGGGCAAGACGATCACCTTGGATGTTGAGGCCAGTGACACGATCGACAATGTCAAGGCTAAGATCCAGGATAAGGAAGGCATCCCGCCCGACCAGCAGCGCCTGATCTTCGCTGGCAAGCAGTTGGAGGATGGCCGTACCCTTTCGGATTACAACATCCAGAAGGAATCGACCCTTCACTTGGTGCTGCGCTTGCGAGGGGGCATGTAAAGCACTTGCCTGCAAGTATAGTAGCTTCCAACACAGAGCTCCCACAGGTTTTGTACTGTATAACGTTTCATGAACATGTGGTCATCTGGCCTGCCAAATTCTAACACTTGCGAGTGAAGCACCAACATAGTCTGTGGATAATTGGGCTCATGAGGTGAAGCTGTGGCGTGAACTTTTGTGACGTAGCCGGGCAATGGGTCTTCAGGTGAGTGGTTGCTTCGATGAGAGATATCTAAATTCTCTAGTCACAATGATAATGCAGCAGCAATTCGCAGTGGAGATCGCCTTGCAGGTTTTGAGTCTTTCTAGGCTGGGTCGCGCTATGCCGTTTGTACAGGTTTCAGCCTGGACTCCATGTGCCGTGCCCAGTTCTGCTTATGCAGCACTCGGACAGGGATTCGCTGGCCGACTATGCGCCAAAAAACTTTCAGCGTTCCTCTCCCTGCATGTGGGCCTTCCTACTTGCAGCTACCCAAAGCTGGAAGAATCTCCACATGACGCCCCCAAGCCCAAAACCCACCTTCCGCCACCTCGGCCCTGGCGCCCTCCACACCCCTAAAAGCCCGAAGCCT